GTTGACTATGATGAAACCTTCTCACCAGTAGCTAAGATTAAATCTATTAGGATAATTCTCACAATAGCTGCATTTCATGTCTATGAAATTTGGCAGATGGATGTCAAAATTCCTTTCCATAATGGGAAGTTGGCTAAGGATGTTTACATGAGTCGGCCAAAGGGTTTTCTGGATGCAAAGTATCCAAATAGAGTGTGTAAGCTTGAGAAATCGATCTATGGATTGAAACAAGCTTCTCGCGGATGGAATCTTTTCTTTGATGAGAAGGTCAGAGAGTTTGGCTTCTCTTGAAGTGAAGATGAATCTTGTGTATATGTCAAAGCTAGTGGGAGTATAGTAACCTTCGTGGTATTGTATGTTGATCACATACTTCTTATAGGAAACGACATTCCATATTTGCAAGAGGTTAAGTCTTGGCTTGGAAAGTGGTTCGATGTGTAGGATTTGGGAGAGGATGCTTATATTATGGGGATAAGGATTTTAAGAGACATGATTAAAAGACTAATTGGAGTTGTTCCATCCATCAAAGGAGGCTATTTGTTTGAATAACTTCATCCGAGACCTTGGAGTTGTTCCATCCATCAAGGAACCAATGGGGACTTTCTATGATAATGAAGGGGAGGTTTCCTTAACAAAGGAACAAACAGAAAATGGTAGATCAAGACATATCAATATAAAATACCATTTCATCAGATATAGGGTAGAAGAAGGTCACCTTGTCGTTAAAAGGGTGTCATCTAAAGATAATCATGTATATCCCCTCACAAAGGGTCTGAGTAGAGTCAAACATGTGCAACATGCTATAAGCATTGGTTTTAATAGATGAATTTAAAATGGTCTAAAACTTTGTACATGACATAGTAATTTGTACCTTATGATTTATACTTAGATACATATTTTTAGAAATAATATTATCTCAAGAAAATAATAATTTCTCCATAATTAAATACAAAATTTGATAATATTTATTAATAATCAAATTCAAATAGATATTTAATAAATGATTAGTTATTAAATGTGTGGCCATATAAAATCACATGTTATTAAAAATATCATTCTAAAAATAAAAAAATAAAAAAAAAAAAAAAAAAAATGGTCATAACTAAAATCGATTTAGGAAAAGTTGGTTTTATTTAAACCAATTGTTAAAAATTGAAACCGGTTCAAATTTTACATATATACACATCTTGTCTTGGGACACAAGGTAATCATAAGAGCTTCATCATTATAATAGCATATTTTTATTTCAGCATTACTTACTAAGTTTGTGTTTGTAGTTCGAAGAGAAAGCCATTTCAAAGTAACAAATATGGTTTACAAGAAGAATAAGTAGAAACATGACCTAAATTGTTAGAATGCATTATTCATTCAAATGGTCCATGTTTAAGACTTATGCAAGTTAGGGATATAAGATTATATGATGGTCACCAACTCTATAAATAATTTAATAAAAATAGAATAAAATTAAGTTTTATTATTATTATTATTATAATTATATATATATATATATATATATATATATATATATATATATATATATATATATATATATATATATATATATATATATATATATATATATCAAGGTTGTGAAAATCGTTTAGCGGTCGATCGGTGATAAGCGATTAATCAGACTCAGTGGAGATTAATCGGAAACCCTAAATTATTAATAAAATTATTTAAAAAATTAATATTTCCTAAAAAATTAAGTATTTGAAAATTTTAAATTTTTAAAATTTTAGTATAATATTTTAAAATCTGAAAGCATAAAAATTTAAAATTTTAAAATTTTGGTGTAATATTCGAAAATTAAAAATTTTGAATTTTTTAAATATTTCTTATCTATGAACGCCGAGGACCGCCAAAAATCTAGCATCGTCGTCTGGAATCAACGATCCAACCTCAGAATCCATGGTTTCCTCCACCATTTTCGATTATAAAGCTATTGCTTTTGATTCCTAATGATTTTTTTTATATTACAAAAAATAAATTATCAGTCAACGATCGGTAATCTGATTTAATGGAGGTCGGTAATTGTTGATTATGCTCTTGTGTTCTTCACTGACTCTCTCCTCTATGCTCGCCTCCCCCCGCCCATGAACAATCAGAAAACCTAATCGCTAGATATGTTAACATCAAAGGTATAATTGTTTACCTTTTTTATTGATTTTATACTGGTCTCCATAATCATTTCTCTATTAGATTGAAGGGTAAGACTTACCTTTATCAGTAGATTTTAGATTGATTTAGTACTATATGCCTACTTTTATGGGATAAAGAACAAACAAAGAACAGTTTCTTATGTATATGGAAAATTCTATGTTCCTTCAAATAAACAAAAAGTGGTGGTAGATAGGTCATCGACTTCCATTATAATACTTTTACCATCCATATTTAAACATCTAATATGTTAAACTTGATAGGTTCTTTTATCGAGGGTAAGTTTCTTTAATTCGAAAGTTGCTTCAAATAAAAACCTCCAAAAGTACAGAAAAAACTGATGAGGTTGTCATGTGTGGCCTCTTGCCAAAATCTCCAACAACAATTGAAAGCAGAACAAAAAGTAGGTTACCATTCTATATCAATATATATTCATCTTGATGAATTCATCTCTGCATATCTCATTATAACCTAAACAAAACATGTGGCCTCTTATGCTTGGTTTTAAAAAGCATCGCTTCAGGTCGTTTTAAGTGCTAAGCGCTTAGGTGAAAAGGTAACCTTTTATCTGTTCTACAGAAACTACTGAGTTTTAGTACATCTATTCCTTGAGTGATAAGTTTTAGTACATCATAAATCTCTATCATTCACATGATATTTTATGGATACATGGATGACCAAGAAGAGCACAATGTTTGTAAGTGAATCACATATAAATTAAACGTGATTCACATGTAATTCACATATGAATCACATGTAAATCACAAGTGAATCACATATGAATTACATGTGATTCACGTGTAATTTACATATTAATCACATGTAAATCACATATGAATTACATGTGAATCACATATGAAATAAATGTGAGTTACATATAAATCACGTGTAATTAACATATGAATTAAATGTAATTTACATATAAATCACATATGATGCACATGTAAATCACAAGTGAATGATATATGAATTACATGTGATTCACATGTAAATCACAATTGAATCACATATAATATATGTCTATATACACACATGTATTTTTGTGAGTGTTCTTGCATTAATAATTATTTTTATTTATTTATTGTAGGTTTGTAAGAATTTGTGGAAAATATTAAAGAGGTGAAAAAAGATAAATTAAAGAAAATATAGAAATCTTGACATGAAGACACTTTGAAATTTTGTAGCATATTTTGTTTTTTATATTGTATATTGTATCGAATAAAATACGTGTCCTATTGTGTTTATACATTATTAATAAAAATATGTTTTTTTTATGATTTACATACGAATATTATACTATAAGAAATATGTATATATGTACTTGAAAAAATATGCATATATTAATCTAACACGTTGATTTTTTTTGTTTAAATAAAATGATAGTTTTTTTCTTAAATATTTCATTTTTTAATTTACTCACTTTAAAAAGTTACTATTTAAAAAAATTCCGTTTTTAAAAAAATATGTTTTTTTTTCAATTTAAAAAAAAAAAAAAAACTTCATGATTTCTAAAAGAAATTTTAAAAAATCTATATTTTTTTAACAAAAATTCGAAAATTTGATGACCTTAATGAGTTAAATGAGATTTGTAAAATAAGAATAATGATCTTAATAAGTTAATTTTGATATAACGTTTCATTTTTAATTTTCAGATTTTCAAAAAATTATAAGTTCTCAATAGAAATAATCCGTTCCAAATATATGGCTAATACTAATAATCCGTATACATACCTAATACTAATAATACACTTCACTCATAAAAATACGTTCATTTCACTACAAGACAAATCTTTAGATCATAAACCATCAATTCATCCACGTACACGTGGACAGCCATGATCATCCCACTTGACGACCTCTAGTAGGTTCTTATCCTCACCGGCCGTCCACGTCTCCTGCATTATATGGCCCTACACATTATCACCCAACAATAACAAATTACTCAATTAAAATTCATCCTCCCAATCAATCCTCACACTTTTGGAAAATGTCATACCGCACCCTTATAAAAATAATAACTCAACGACGTGGGCCACGTTATCGCCTACAAGTACACACTAAGCTACTCCATGCCCAATTAATTTAATCAATTTTACCCAAACTTTTGTATTAGACCCTGACCCTTCATCAACCCTTTCAGATACTGGTCCAGATTCATCTCTGAGTAAATAGATACACACATTTTCGAAAGGTTTTCTATACATTCAACAGTCAAATCAGGTGAGTATCTTGTTTGTCTTTCCTAGTTTTGGTTTTGCTTATTTGAAAAGACATGATGATTATGTTAATTTCCTTATTTGGTTGTGATTTAGTCTGTGTTTGATGAATTTACGTTCTGGGTTTTGTTAGTTTTGTCTTTTTCAAAAAGAAATGGAACATGATTTTGGTTCTAAGCTGTGTGCTCTGTTTTTGATGATTTGAGGTTGCAATGGTAATTCATGAATAGGGTTTACGTAATTTCAAATTTTGGCTGAGATTTTGATCATTTCAAGTTTCAACGTGTGTCGACAATGGCGAATTTTAACAAATTTGTAACTGAAAACTGGAAAGGATTTTCTTTAAATTTGCTACATGTCATTGTATCTTGTTGTTATTTCGTAATCCAGCTTGATCTAAATCAAATTTTGTTTTATATTAGGAAATTGAGTTGGGATTTGATTTGGGATTTGATTGTATAAACATATCAAGCTTAGAGCATTCAGGGGAGAATTATGAACTTCAAAAACTTAGGAAATCAGCCAACGGATTTCAGAAATGGGAGCGGCCGGCCACCGGGGAACTTCCCGTTGGCGAGGCAAGGTTCGATCTATTCGTTGACCTTTGATGAGCTACAAAACACCATGGGAAGCATCGGAAAAGATTTTGGGTCAATGAACATGGACGAATTACTAAAAAACATCTGGAACGCCGAAGAAATGCAAACAACGGGATCTAACTCCGGCGCCACCGTTCAAGATCGCGGCGGAGCTGGTGGAGCAAATTTACAGAGACAAGGATCGTTAACACTCCCAAGAACATTAAGCCAAAAAACAGTCGATGAAGTTTGGAAAGATTTATCAAACAACAACGGATTCGGACACCCGAATTTACCCCAAAGGCAACAGACTCTCGGAGAGATGACTCTCGAGGAGTTTCTGGTTAAAGCCGGCGTTGTTCGGGAAGAAATTCAATTATCCGGTAAACCAAATGATAACGTGTTGTTCTCCGATTTAACAAATTCTCAAAATAACAACGGGTTTGGTGCTATCGGATTCCAACAGGCGGTAGGCGTAGGTCAGAATTCCGCCATTGATGATCCTCGTAGTAATCAAATTTCATTCCAGTCTGCAAATCAACAAATGAACGGCAATGGGGTTCGATCTATTTTACCCTACGGAGCTCCTCCCGTCGCTATTCCAAGAAACAATCATTTAGGTAGTCCTGTAATCAGGAATGGAGTCGTGGGTGTAGGTCTTTCCGATCCAATGATGAACACTAACACTTTAGTCTCAGCCGCCACTCTACAAGGCGGGATGGCAGGGATGGGTGGCGGTGGCGGTGGGGTCACAGTTGCCGCCGGGTCTCCGGCGCTTTCATCGGATGGGTTAGCGAAGAGTAATGGTGATACGTCGTCTGTATCACCTGTTCCTTATGCCTTTAATGGAGTTTTCCGGGGAAGAAAAAGCGGTGCGATTGAGAAAGTCGTTGAACGGAGACAGCGGCGGATGATCAAGAACCGAGAATCGGCTGCCAGATCTCGGGCTCGTAAGCAGGTGAATATTTTAACCTTTTGATTTTATATTTTTGTAGTTTTTTAAAAAATTATTATGGTTTAAAGTTTATAAAAACATAAAAAGGACAAAAAAGAGGGAGAGATTTAGTATATACGAATCCGAGGTCATTAAATTGATGCATGAAAGATTTGGTTATTTTATGCGGCAGAGTCACCGTTGTAATTTGATAGATATAGAGAGATATGCCTCGTGATGAACGATTGAGATGTTTCACACAAGGATGTCAATTCGCATCAGGTAACAAAAAGGCATATTTTAAGTTTTAATTAGGGGACATAATAGATTAGGGATTCTATAATATTGAATTAGAACAAGACACGTGTTACTTCTTTTTCATTAAAGATTGTCTTAGATCTTAGATAATCAATGTTTAAAAACATTTAAGAGAAAAAAGTAATTAAGATAAATTTGTAAAAAGGCTGGAACCAATGAAAAAATTGTGTACCTCATTTAATATATTGAAGCTTGTAATGGTAATGGTGGAGTTGTTGGAGGAATATTTTTTTTCACATATTATAGATTATTTATTTATTTATTGATTTATTTATTTATTTGTAATTGTAGGCATATACAATGGAACTTGAAGCAGAAGTATCGGAATTGAAACAGAAGAATCAAGAACTGAAACGAAAACAGGTTAAAGCATATCAGATTATTTTTTGCATATTTTTTTTAATAAATTACGATTTTGAATTCACATAACTCAAATCTTGCAGGCTGAGCTACTAGAAATGCAGAAAAATCAGGTACGCAAGAAAAAGTTTTACAAAAGAATGGCATGCTAGTTTTTATTATTATTATTTTTTTGTCTTTATTATATTTAGCGAATATAACTGCAAGAAATATGAAATCGATTTGATTATTATTTCAAATTCATTTGAAAAAAAAAATCTATATTAAATGTTTTGTAATGTCAGGAAAGTATGTGTTACATAACTTAAGAGAACACATTTAGACATTCTAAAAAAACGGGAGGTTTTAAAAAAACAAAGAGCTTAAAATAAAAATATTTTTTTTAATAATATATCTATAATGTGTTGTCTTTTTCTCCTTCTCCTTTATTTCTTCATAACGTTTTTGGTAACTTGTAACAATAGAATATGAAAAATGAGGGTTTAAATTGTGGCTATATAGGTCTTTTACTTAATTTTGGTTAAATCTTAGAACAAATTAATAAAATTAGGCTAATTTTTTTTTTTTTCTAAAAAGACAGCGATCACCTAATATTACATTAAATTGGTGTTGTTAATAGCAGGTTATGGAGATGATGAACACGCAACCAGGGACAAAACGACACCGTCTAAAGAAAACACTTTCTGGGCCATGGTAAATAGTGTTTATTTATGTACCCAATCATCAACTGGTGCATGTAAATAATAAAAATATGTTTTCGTTAGGTTAAAAAAGTCGGTTCTTTATACTACATGGAGTAGAGTAGTTAAAGTTACAACAGATAATATATTAATATATTAGGTAGTAGTGAAAAGATTGATTACACTGTGTGTAATCCATTTGTTTATTTTGTTAGGATGATGATTAGTTATGTAAAAGAGTGTGGCTCTTTTGTTTTTTGCTTGTTGTTTTTTTGCTTTTTGTTTTTTGAATGTCGTTAGTTGTTATGAAATAAAAAGTAAAAATAGGATAAACTTTCAAGTGTCAACGAGATGATGACAATTGTTTATTTATCTAAAACAAGAAATTACAAGGTTAAACAGAATGAAGTTTGCAACTGCATGTATAGGAGTATCAATGTTTGGGTATTCTTTTGTATGCGTAACATCCTAAGTTTTGGATTTTATTATAAGGAATATTTTTTTCATGTTTAGTAAGTATTATTGGGAAATAAAATTTAGGGTTTGTGAATTATGGAATAAAGTATATGAAAATGGAAAGTCTAATAATTTCAAATTGACAATGTAGTGCGTTACCATCTATGGGTATTATACCATTAGGTTATAACTCGTAGAAATCACGGTTATAAAAATAATTATATTTTTATAATAAAAACTCATAATTATCAATTATGTTCAAGAAATTATTAGTTAACAGATTTATGTTTTTTTTATGTAAAATTATAATCATTGATTTAAATAAATATGTAAAATTACTTTTTATTTGTGAATTAACGAAAATAATAATAATATTGTATAATGAAATGCTAAATTGATTATAAAAATAAAACAACCATAATAAATGAAGTAACTTAAACTTGGTATATGGCAAACATTAAGTTGTTGAAATATACATATATAAAAAATATAACAAATTACAAATACAAATTAACAATAAATCTTATTATAAATAATAATAAAAGTTGTTATAAGATACCAGTAAGATTATTTTGCTGGTATAGGGGCAACAAATGGGTATAGGGCAACAAATGGAATAAAATAGGGTTAAGAATCTATATTTTCACTATTGAACCTATAACTATGAACATCAAATAGAAAACCCCAAGAACCCTAGGTAATTTTCGAAAATCATAAAATAGGTGTAATACCGTAAATTTTCAAACAAATTTTTCATTTTAAAATCAAATAATTCTCATAAACACATTTTACAAAATGACAAACATCTAATTATCAAAACACAACTCCATTATTGTTTAGGTAAAAATTCAGGATCCTCAAAACATAACTCTTTCTCTCGGGTGTGTACAATCAAGCCGGTGCCTTCCCATGATCCTAAAAAGTACCTGAAACACATTACACACACGATAAAGCACGAAGCTTAGTGAGTTCTCTAAAATACCACATATACAAATAATAAGCCTCTCATGGCTATAACTCGGCATGACCCTCCGGTCTCATGCGTCTTAGTGTGGACCCTCTGGTCATGTATCTTAATGAGGACCTTCCGGTCTCACAGCTCGGTTTGGACCATCCGGTCCTATCTCAGTAAACACATAATATAACATATATATCACACAGACAAAATGCATAATATCACATAACTCAAGTAAGAACATAAGACCCTCCGATCACACAAAGATTACCACTCTAGGTAAAGTATAGTGAGAAGACTCACCTCAAAGCAAGCAAGCAAATACACCTCGTACACGAATCACCAGATCTAGCCTCCGACTAACACATATGATAATTATCTCTAATTAAAATCACAACTCTAAATAAACTCATATTAGCCCCTCTTTAACTCTTGGGAAGGGTAAAAGACCATTCTACCCCTCCGTGGTCCTCATTACTCACATTTGGTCAAAACCCTAAAAGTCAACTCGAGTCAACAGTCCATGTTGACCCAACTCGTCGAGTGCATCAAAGCAACTCGTCGAGTCCCCTCGTTTCCTCAGAAGCCTCATGAAAACCAACTCAACTCGTTGATTTGACTCATCAACTCTCCGAGTTACAGCATGCTCAGACTCATCAGGATAAACCCTAACCGACTCGTCGAGTCACCTCATCGACTCGTCGAGTCCTTTCCGACTCTTTTCTCATCAGACATTTTTAAGGCAAAAAGCAACCCTAAACTCTAGATCTAACCTCCCACAACTCGAATATCACTTAAATCCACAAGCTTTATGTCCATGCATGGCACTTAGGGCTTGAAATGCCAAAAACATGATCCATTAAGGGTTTTTCATTCAAAAGCTGTACTATGGTTGAGTAAAGTTGGGAAATTTGGACTTTAGGGAGCTCACAAGGTCCAGATATGAGGTTTCAACCTCAAGATATGCTCAAGGGACTCAATAACACAATGTGGATGGGAGAAAACCCTAAAAACTTTCCCAAACCAAGATCTACACAAAGAATGATCAAGTTAGTAATCTTTTACCTCCAACAGAAGCTAACCACTAAAGAATCTCTGGATCCAAACATCCCTCCCCGAACCAAGCCAGGATGCTCTCCAAATCTTCTTCCAAAGTTGCACAAGAACACCCAAAATGAGGGCTTAAGGACCTTTAAATAGGACACAAACCCGGAAAATTAGGATTTCTCCAAACAGCTCCAACTCGCCGAGTTGGTCTCTCTACTCACCGAGTTGGTCACTAAACATACGCGGCCCAAAACGACTACACTCGCCGAGTTAGGCATCCAACTCGTCAAGCTGCTCTGCTAAGGAACATGAATTTCTCAAATATGATACCTCGAAATTTTGGGATGTTACAATAGGGTTAAGGATTACATACATTAATTGTTATTGTAGTAAATAACAATGATTCCTTTTTAAAGATCTCTTGGAAGCAAGCACCACAAGTGTCGTACCTCTAATTGAATCACATTCAAACTAGCAAGAGAATGAATTAGGAGGGAGGAGAAGGAAACTTGAATTTTCAGCTATCCCTTTATAGAATAGAGTGGCCAAAATTTGTAAGGATTAGGGGCCTTTATATAGTGCTGTCACACCCCCAAACCAAGGATGGCGGAAACGTCTGGGGGTGGAGGACTTCATGTACAGTATCACAACAACGTGTATAATAGTGCTCAAAGTAAAAACAACCACCATATATATAATTGCAAAAGTTACACCAAAGTATATGTTTACATGTTTCAAAAGCAATTAC